AAAGTGCTGGGATTACAGGCTGAGCCATGGAACCTGGCTGAAAATCGTTTTCTTACGGTATTAACCTTGTTTTGTTTTGTTTTGTTGAAGTGGGAGTCTTATTCCGTCTCCCAGGCTGGAGGTTGGAGTACAGTGGCATGCACGCTCATGGCCACCCTAATGTCAACCCTATGGGCTCCAGCAGTCCTTCTGCCTCAGCCTTCTGGATAGCTGGAACTACAGACATGCACTGCCACGCCTGCCTATTTTTTTATTTTATTGTGGAGACGAGGTTTTACCAGGTTACCCGGGCTGGTCTCGAACCTGCAGGCTCAGAAAATCCACTCACCCCAGCCTCCCAAAGTGCTGGGATTACAGGCTGAGCCACCAAACCCGGCCATCTTTTTTATTTTTTGAGTTAAAATCTCACTCTGTTGCCCAGGCTGGAGTGCAGTGCTATGCTCACAGTCATCGCTGCCTCAACTTTCTGAGCTTAGGCGATCCTTCTGCCTCAGCCTTCCAAATAACTGGAACCACAGCCACGCACTACCAGCCCAGCTCATTTTTTAAATTTATTGTAGAGACAAGGTCTTATCAAGTTGACCAGGTTGGTCTCGAAACTGTGGGCTAAGGCAGTCCTTTCACGTCCACCTCCTAAAGTGCTGGGATTATAGGCGTGAGCCACTTGTTTCTGAACTCTCTCTGGGGAGAGGGATGCGTATTGCCTCGGTTGTCTTTTTGTTTAGAGTTTTCCCTGAGGCCCTACCGAAAAATCTATAAATGAAAATACTTCAAGATAGGTATTGGTTCATGAAAGCAATGAGAGTGACCATTGCAAACCTTCTAAGATGAGGGTGGCCATTGTAAGCCTGACAAGAGCTAAGAGAAGAAAAAGTTGCCTAGACAGACGTTTATAGTACATGAATAGCCATTGTACTGTGGACTTCTTCCCTGTCCCCCTTTTTTTTGAGTTGGGCTCTCACTGTTGCCCAGGCTAGAATGCAGTGGCATAATCTTGGCTTAGCATAGCCTCGACCTGCTGGTCTCAAGTAATCCTTCTGCTACAACTTCCCAAGTAGCTATAACTCACAGGCATGTGTCACCATGCCTTGCTAATTTTTTTATTTATTGTAGAGACAAGGTCTTACCAAGTTGTGCACGCTGGTCTCCAGCCCTTGGGCTCAGGCAATCCTCTTGCCTCTGCCTTAAAAAGTGCTGGGATTATAGGTGTGAGCCACTGTGCCCGGCTCCTAGAGTTTTTGAAAAAAAAAATTTTTTTTTTTTTGGTTTGAGTTGGAGTCTCACTCTGTTTCTTACCCAGGCTGGAGTGCTGTTGCACGCTCACAGCCCCCTCAGCCTTGACCTGCTGGGTTAAGGTGATCCTTCCACCTCAAGTTGAAAAATATAGTTTGTTTGGAATATAAATGGAGGTGGGGCAAAAGAGAGAGACAGAAGGGAAGATTCACTTTCCCAAGGTAGGGGAGGGAGGCCAAAGCTTAGAAAAACATGGTGGCCATAGCTCAAAGAGCCATCATGCTGGAGTGCAGTGGCATGCTCACGGCCACCGCAGCCTCAAACTGCTGAGCTTAGGCAATCCTTCAGCCTTAGTCTTCCTAGCTAGAACTACAGATGCATGCCACCATGCCCAGCTAATTTTTGTGATTTATTGTGAAGACAGGGCCTCACCAAGTTACCCAGGCTGATCTTGAATCCTCGGGCTCAGGCAGTCCTCTTTCCTCGGCCTCCCAAAGTGCTGGGATTATAGGCTGAGCCACTGTGCCTGGCCTTACTGATGTTTTGATTTATTGTAGAGACAAGGTCTCACCAAGTTGCCCAGGTTGGTCTCGAACCCATGAGCTCAGGCTGTCCTTTTGCCTTGACCTTCCAAAATGCTAGGATTATAGGTTTGAGCCAGAACTAGTTTGTTTTTTTGAGTTGGAGTCTCACTCTGTCGCCCAGACTGGAGTGCAGTGGCACACTCCCAGCCACCACAGCCTCGACATGCTGGGCTCAGGCGATCCCACCTTAGCTTTCCAAGTAGCTGGAACTACAGGCGCGTGCTACCACACCCAGCTAGTTTTTGATTTATTGTAGAGTTGAGGTCTCGCCAAGTTGCCTGGGTGGGTCTCGAACCCACGGGTTCAGGCAGCCCATTCACCTTGGCCTCCCAAAGTGCTGGGATTACAGGCTTAGCCACCAAGCCCGGCCGGAGCTAGTTTTAAAGTATCCTTGTAGTTGTAAACTTTAGAACAGTGCCATCTAGTAGAACTTGGTGCAGTAATGAAAATGTTCTTTATCCTGTTATCTAAGATGGTGGCTAAGCTACACGTTGCTTTTTGAGCACTTGGAAATATGGCTAGAACAAGGACTGATAAATTGAATTTTAAATTTTATATAAGTAAAAAGAGCTATATGTGTCCGGAAGTTGTGTATTGTACAGAGAAGCTTTTGAGTCATCTTAGACTTGGAAGCACCATTAGCTGAACAGTGAGGTCATCTGCATCGTCTCTAAAAGAAGGAATATGTCCCCACAGTTATTGAATGAAGTGAGAAGATCCAAGTGATGAGCAGATTCTCGACCATTATTCCTCAGTTTGCCTGATGCCACTGTGCAGGACAGAATGCAGTTGGGTGTTGTAGCTGATGTTAGGATGCTCAGATTACTGGTACTCCCAGGCAAGGTCATTAGCTAGTGTTTAAGATTAGGAGTAGGAAGGCTTGAGGTAATATACAATGATGAATTGAAGACCAGCTCATCAAATGTTTGCCAAAAACTACAGGACAGTCTTGAGTTAGATTTGACTGCATTTTTAGTTGTAAACATAGGCACCTGTCATACAGATGACCATGGTTAGGAAGGCTTTGTTGTAAGAACTGCCTCATGTATACTGTGTGCATAGTTAATATATTATGTCTGAGGAAAACACTTAGTGTCAAATCCTGAAAGAATTGTGAGAATTATCTCAGGCAGAAAGATGCTCCCTGAAGGAAGTAGGTTTTTTTCTGTCTTTGGAGATACGGCTTAATGACTTAGTAAGAAAAGAAGGAATGTATAGGGGGAAATTGGGAAAGGGAAATGGGAAATCATTAGTGGTTTAGAAAAAGAAGGTTGGGTTAGGTGGCTCAGCCTGTAATCCTTGCACTTAGGGAGACCGAGGCAAGTAGATTGCCTGAGCCCGTGGGTTAAAGACCAACCTGGGCAACTTGGCGCAACCTCGTCTCTACAATAAATCACAAACATTAGCTGAGGGTGTGGTAGTGTGTGCCTGTGGTTCCGGCTGCTTGGAAGGCTGAGGCCTTGGAAGGATTGCTGGAGCCCAGCAGGTCGATACTGGGGTAGCTATCTGTGAGTTTGACACTGCACTCCAGCCTGGGCCACAGAGTGAGACTTCCCCAACTCAAAATAAATAAATAAAGGGGGAAAAAAAGAAAAAGGAATGTACATGTTATGTGGTCAGTACTGTCTCTTCCTGTTAACATTGACAATGTTTTTATAAAATGTTTGTCACATCTGCTTCTTGAATTTGCTTTGAGTAATCCGTTTGACTGCACAGTCTCTCTTGAGCAGAGTTGCCATGGGGATTATAGGTTGTCAACTATCTGAAAATCCTGATTAGAGGGGAATTTGAAGAGTAATAAGTGATCTACAGCAAGGGTAGGTGACCTGCAGGCCAAATCTGGCCAAAGACTGTTTTCCTAAATGAAGTTTTATTGGAACACGGCCATATATTTTCCTTTATTTATTTATTTAAGTCAGAGTCTAATTTAGTCTCCCAGGCTGGAGTGCAGTAGGACGCTCTTGGCCACCGCAGCCTCAATCTGCTAGGCTCAGGTGATCCTTCCAAGTGACTGGAACTACAGGCATGCACCACCAAGCCTGGCAAATTTTTTTTTTTTTTTTTGAGTTGCAGTCTCACTCTGTCACCTGGGCTGGAGTGCAGTGGCCGCTTCTGGCCACCGCAGCCTTGGCCTGCTGGGCTCCGGTGATCTTTCCGCCTCAGCCTTCCGAGTAGCCGGAATTACAGGCATGCGCTACCATGCCCGGCTGATTTTTTTATTTATTATAGAGATGAGGTCTCGCTGCCGAGGCAGGTCTCGAACCCGCGGGCTCAAGCAGTTCACTCACCTCAGCCTCCCAAAGGCGTGGGATTATAGGCTGAGCCACCGAGCCCGACTAATTTTTTTATTTTATTTTTTATTTTTTTCTCACTCTGTCGCCCAGACTGGAGTGCAGTGGCATGCTCCCGGCCACTGCAGCCTCTCCCTGCTGGCCTCTGACCATCCTTCTGCCTCAGCCTTCCAAGGAGCTGGAACTACAGGCACATGCTACTACGCCCGGCTTATTTTTGATTTATTGCAGAGATGATGTCTTGCCAATTTGCCCAGGCGGGTCTCAAACCCCTGGGCTCAAGCATTCCTTTCGCCTCTACCTCCCAAAGTGCTGGGATTACAGGCGTGAGCCATGGTACTTGGCCACATTTTCCCTTAAATAATGCCTATGGCTGCTTCTGCACTGTAATCACAGAGTTGAAGAGTTGTTACATAGTCTCTATGACCTGCAAAACCTTTAAAGGACTCTGCTTCAGTCTTCGCAATTAGGTATCTGCTTTTTTTTTTCTTTTTTGAGTTGGGGTCTCACTCTGTCACCCAGACTAGAGTGCAGTGGCCACTCCCGGCCACCGCAGCCTCGGCCTGCTGGGCTCCGGCGATCCTTCCACCTCAGCCTTCCGAGTAGCCGGAATTACAGGCATGCGCCACCACGCCCAGCTGATTTTTTTGATTTATTGTAGAGATGAGGTCTCGCTGCCCAGGCGGGTCTCGAACCCACGGGCTCAGGCAGTCCACTCACCTCAGCCTCCCAAAGGCGCGGGATTACAGGCTGAGCCACCGAGCCCGGCTGGTATCTGCTTTTTTTAATGATTTCTCCAGTGATTCACATTAAAGTTTGAGGAGAATTCAAGGACAGTATTCAGGAGTACATGAAGTTGGACAGTGACTGCTTATTTTTACATTTCTTTTAGATATGAACATAGCAAGCCATTGAAACAGGAAGAAGCAACTGCTACAGATCTAACTACAAAGTCCTCGCTTGCTGCTTCCTCAAGTCTCCCATCAGTAGTCGGGCCACTTGGTGAAATGAATACAGGAGAAGCTGAGTCAAGAAATTCAAACTTTGCAACTGTAGGAGCAGGTTCAGAGGACTGGGTGAATGCCATTGAGTTTGTTCCTGGGCAACCCTACTGCGGCCGTAGTAAGTATTCTGAAGAATAAAATACGGTAGAGTGTTCAGACAGCAATTCATCAGTAGCTCAGTTTTCACAACCTTCCTGCTTCCAGTCTTCATTTTAGCCTAATAATACAGTACTTTAAGTTGGATTACCTAAGATTTACAGATGGAGTGAAAGAAACTTTTGAATCCCAGTCATAATGAATTCAGAATGTTTTGGAAAAACTGAAGCCTCGTCTTTAATCAGTACTTAAAAAATCAAATTCCAGTTACCCAAGAAATACATAAAGGAGCTATTTTTTTCTTTTTTACAAGCCTAATCTTGGAAATGTCAGCATTAGAACAAATTCATTTCTTTCAAGAGTGAAGAAATTAGTTCAATAGACTGTTTTGGAGTTTAATTGAAGTTCTTTTTATTTTTTCTTTTCAGTTAGGTTCTCAGTTACCTTATAGTTCATATATCTGCCTTATCCTTTTGGACCTTTACCACCCTCTTAAACATTTTCAGCTGCCCCTTCCTGCACTGAAGCACCCCTGCAGGGCTCAGTGACCAAGGAAGAATCAGAGAAAGAGCAACCCGCTGTGGAAACAAAGAAGCAGCTTTGCCCCTATGCTGCAGTGGGCGAGTGCCGATATGGGGAGAACTGTGTGTATCTCCACGGAGATTCATGTGACATGTGTGGGCTGCAGGTCCTACATCCCATGGATGCTGCCCAGAGGTCACAGCACATCAAAGTAAGTCTCTAGGGAGGCGTGTGTGGTCCTAGGTGTGAGAAGCGAGATTTGCCCTTGCCTAGCGTTTTCGGTTCATTTCAGAGAAACATTTGGTGAATTGAATGTCTGTCAGGAGTAAGTAGGAACAGCTTGGGTCCTGGCTTCTTGAATGCCTATCAGGGAGTCATACTTCAGAAGCACAGGCTGGGCTTTTCCATTTATTAATTTTTTCTGAGTTTCACATTCTATACAGCTTACCCATTTAAAACGTACGTATCACTTTTTACAGCATTACCTCGATTCTAATTTTAGGACATTTTCATTTTCCCCTAAAGATCATCCCATCGCAGTCACTCTCCCTTCTACTTTTGCTTTAGTCCTGGCAACAACTAATCTACTTTCTGTCTCTGAATTTGCCTATTCTGGACACTTCATGTAAATGGAATCATACAAGTGGTCCTTTGCTACTGGTTTCAGGATTCCCCATGTTGTAGCATGTATCAGCACTTCATTTTTATGGTTGAATAATAGTCATTATATGGCTAGATCACATTTGTTTCTTCATTTATGAATTGGACACTTCTCCACTTTTGGGCTCTGAATACCAGTGTATAACTTTTTGTGTGAAGGTATGTTTCACTTGGGAGTGGAATTGCTAGGTCATATGGTTGGTGTCACCTACACAATTACAAAGGTTTCCACAGTAGCTGTGCCTTTTTACCTTCCCAGTATCAATATACTAGGAGGCTTCAGACTTTACTTTGCAGCATGAATGTTTTGTAGAGAAGATATTGTGTTAAAAACTTTTTTGTTTTATTTTGTTTTGAGTCAGAGTCTCACTGTCACCCAGGCTGGAGTGCAGTGGCACACTCACGGGCCACCGCAGCCTTAACTTGCTGGGCTCAGGTGATCCTTCCACCTCAACCTTCCAAGTAGCTGGAACTACAGACTCACACCACCACACCCAGCTAGTTTTTGTCATTTATTGTAGAGACGAGGTCTCACCAATTTGCTCAGGCTGGTCTCAAACTCTCAGGCAATCCTCTCACCTCAGCCTCCCAAAGTGCTGGGATTACAGACTGAGCCACCGCGCCTGGCCAATTTTTTTTTTTTCTTTTTTAACTTATTGTAGAGACGAGGTCTCGCCAAGTTGCCCAGGCTTGTCTCGAACCCTGGGCTCAGGCAATCCTGTCATCCAGGGTAGAGTGCAGTGGCACGCTCACGGCCACTGCAGCCTCGACCTGCTGGGCTCAGGCTATCCTTCCTTCTCAGCTTCCCAAGTAGCTGGAAGCACAGGCACACATCACTGCACCCAGCTAATTTTTTAATTTACTTTTGAGATGGGGTCTCGCCAGGTTGCCCAGGCTAGTCTTGAACCCCTGGACTCAGACAGTCCTTTTGCTTTTGCCTCCCAAAGTGCTGGGATTATAGGCATGAGTCACCGTGCCTGACCCAGTTTTGCTTCTAATTATCATCTCCATCTCTTGTTGAAACAGTCATTTGTTTGTGGGAATGAAGCAGGTGTCACTTACAGTCACTGTTTGAACCCCACCTTCACTGCATGTTAGTTGAGTGCACTTAGGCAGCTCAGATTGGGCAAGGTGTAGTCCCTATCTCTGAAAAAAAAATTTTTTTGAGTTGGAGTCTCACTGTGTTGCCCAGGCTGGAGTGCAGTGGCTTGCTCCTGGCCAATGCAGCCTTGACCTGCTGGGCTCAGGCGATCATTCCGCCTTAGCCTTCCAAGTAGCTGGAACTACAGACACGCCCTACCACGCCCGGCTATGAAAATTGTTTTTAAAAGAGGTTTCTGAAAAAGACTAGGAAGTATACCAACATGTTAAGTGATTATGGGTGACTTTCCAGCTGCTTTTTTGCAGTTTTATATTTCCTGTCATCATGTTTTTTGGTTAAAAATGTATGTGATGTCCACACAAAAACTTACGTGTTAACTCACACAGACTCTTGAAGTAGCATTTGTTTTGTTTTGTTTTGTTTTTGAGTTGGAGTCACTTAGGCTGGAGTACAGTGGCATGCTTACAGCCGCTGCAACCTCGATCTGCTGGGCTCAGGCAGTTTTTCCGCCTCAGCCTTCCAAGTAGGTAGAAAGAATTACAGGCATGTGCTACCATGTCTGGCTTATTTTTTTATTTACTGTAGAGTCGAGGTATCACCAAGTTGCCCAGGCTGGTCTTGATCCCCTGAGCTTGGGCAATCCTCTCACCTTGGCCTCCCAAAGTGCTGGGATGACAGGCTTGAGCCACTGCGCCCAATCCTGCAGTAGCATTAGTAATAGTAACTCCAAAGTGAAAACAACCTAAGTGTTCATCATGTACCATGTGGAGTAGTTAAAAAAAAATCCATCATCTGATGAATAGATAAAGAAAAAGTGGTGTATCTCCACCATGAAATATTACTTGGCAATAAGAAAAAACAAAGTATTGGTATATGTTGCAACATGAAGAACTTTGAACACATGCTAAGTGAGCAAAGGCACTCACAAAAGGCCATGTATTTATATGAAATGCCCAGGACTGGCAAAACCATAGGTTACTGATTGCCCAGGTTTAGGGATTTGGGGGATAAATGAGTGACTGCTAATAGGTATGGGCTTTATTTTTAGGGTAATGAAAATTTTCTAGTCTAGATTGTGGTAATGGTTGCACAACTGAAGATGGAAAACCTAATTGTATATTTTAAATGGGCAAAGAGTGTGTGAATTATATCTCAGTAGGGCTTTTTTGTCACCTAGTTTAGTTTCCCTCACCCTTAACTTTCCTGCAGGTTTCTTTTTTTTTTTTTTTGAGTTGG